ACCTTTAATTAAAGATTTAAGGTAAAGCTAGCTTAAGTGAATTGTCACTAATGATAAAGAAAAAAATTATTGCTTATGCATTACAGAAGTATAACAATTCTGGTAAAAAAAGACTGGCAAGATGTTTTAACTTGCACTATTAGTCAGATACTTTATGCAGCTAGGTTAAATAATTATATTACTCAACGAAAGCCTTTAATAATACCAGCAAATATTAAAACACGTCTTGCATAATATTTGGAATATCAAAATTAGACAAAGGATAATTAGTCAAAGGTTATGTAAAATGATGAATCTACCTTTTCATAATCTAATAAAGCTATTATAGTCGAGTGTGATGTGAACCTCATGAAAAATGAAATATTTCTTGTGTTTCTACTACAGTAAAATATAGTCCTAGCTGAATATTTTAAAAGTGCTTTTCAAGACGAGACTTAGAACTGATTGTTCCATTATCTGAAACAGTCACTAGTACTATATATATCATTATTCTTCACCAGCGTGTCATACTAACTATGAGATGCATATTTTTAAACTATGATAGTATATTCTAAGAGGATAATACTCGCCTTTATAAAATGAAACTTGTAAAGAAGTTTTATGCAGAAAATAGTCTGCGCATACTTTTATGGTTTGCTTAAAGTTCAGATCTTAATCCTATTAAGAATCTATAAGCTGAAGTCAAAAAAAGCATTTGTAAAAGAAAAAAATTGCCTTCTAACTTGCTCAACTCGATCAATATATTATAAGGGCATAAAAAAAATTCTGATATAAATTATCAAATATTTGGTCAATAGTATACTACAGTAAATTCAGGTTGTGATTGAAGCAAATGGAGGCCTGACCAAGTACTAATTATTTAATACTAGATGTGTAGCATATCGTACTTTAATAAATATTTTAATAAATATTTTTTAATAAAATTTAAAAATTACAAGTTTTTTATTAAGCTAAAAAATGTTTAGAGACTTTTGGTAAAGGTCTGTAATTAATTAAAAATTGATTTATTTGATTGATTACGTATAATCAATTCTTAATCAATTGTATAGTTCAATCAAAGAATAAAACTAAATATTGAATTTTAATTATTTGATCATTAATTGATTTATTAATATTAATATAAACATTAAAAAATTATAATAAGCTTATTTTTATCAATTACAAATATTATAATAACTACTAAAATCTCTTTATTTTGCAAATATACAATTATACAAAAGGATTATAATATTTACTATTTCATTTACAAAAATAATTTATTAATAGTCTTTGGTTTTAAACTGGCCTATTTCTTAGTAATTTGATTTTCAGTATCACTAAAAATTCACTTATTTAAAACAGATATGACTGATACACCCAAATAATTTTTAGCTATTTTAAATAAAGTTAGAAACTTCTTTTATTATTAATTTATCATTGAAATAGATTTATTTCAAGTAAAACTTGTAGAGTTCTAAAATTATTCAAAGCAATTTATTTCATTATTATTTTCATCTATTTTATATGATTTATATAAATATGATTTAAACTCAATTATTGGATAATTATTTCTTGAATTTATTTGAGGTATAGCAGTTTCTTTATTTTCTAATAAATGATATTCTTTTTTAATGAAGATATTGCTATTTCACATATTTCTTAAGCCATCCACATATTGTTTTGAACCTTGAATCTAAAAGGCTAGCAAGTATAGCAATTTCTGGTAGTGAATTAAAATATTCAAATAGCATGTCATATATTGCTTTTTTGACAAAATTAATAATATTATTAATTTCAGATAAAGACATTTGTGTATTATTTGAAAAATATGTTTCTCATTATTATTATCATCAATTTATTTATCATCAAACACACTTTATTTTCTTTAGAATTCTCATCTATAGTAATATTATCATTATTTAAAAAAAAAAATTTAAATGTTAATAAATATAATTTAATTATTTAAATTTATACTTACCACTTTCATTATTAATATTATCTTCATCTATATCTGGTGTATAATCATAATATAATACATAAATAGATGGATATAAGGTTGCTTGTCTAAACTCATTTTAGATTTGGCAAACCATCTAAACTATAGTTTTGCTAATTTTTTACTAATGTTTTGATATAGTTTCGCATTTTTATAAACTTTGATATAGTTAGAATTTCGCAGATTTTTTTATTAAGGTTTTAATATAATTTCACTAAATTTTACCTTTTTCCATTTAGACGACTTGCAAAACCTCTAGGTTTCGTCTAGCAACCTTAGATATATTAAAAAAAGTGTATAATATTTTTTACTACTTAACCATTCTGTAGCTTCTTAAATTAATTTAAAAAGATCAATTAATTTTTTTAATAAAATCCATTCATAATCTAAAAAAATTCGCATTCTTAATTTTTCATACTCTTTTTAAATTTATTCTCTAGATATAAATTTAAAAGAACCCATTTAATAGGATCCTTTAACACTTGTAATCTTTTTCAGGAAGCTAAGAATGATCACTATCAGATCTTGACATCATTAATAGTTCGAAAAATTTTTAATGGATATTGATTGATCAATTAATGTTGAATCAAATAAAATTGAAAACCCTTCCGATACGACGATAGCCGAAACTGTCGAAACTATATTAAAAACATAGAAAAGGGTATGACGAAATTATTTTGAGGAGGTTTCGACAGGCATCTATAAAAAATATAAATAAATAATTTTACCCTGATTAATGTAAAAGTTGTTTCGGCATCGCATCCTTATGCTTAGCAACTTCATCTTTTGTCATTATTGTCAGACAGAAAAATGAATTTATAAGTTTTTTTTTTATTTGTGCACACAAAACTTATAATGATAATTAATCTTGGGCAATTTCTAATCGTACAATGTGAAACATAATCGGTGACAATATTTTCTGTTCTCAGATTAATTAGTAGTAGGGGGTGATACGGTGATAAATAACAACCTAAATCTGTATTCTAAAACTAAACTAATCTAATCCTAAATTAAACGCAACTCCACATAATAAGTTTATATATATCATATGCCGTGTTCAAATTTTCTTAATTTCTTAATTGTATTTTGTAAAAAAATGAATTTACAAAGGATTTCGGTTTTGTCGGTTCCAGATTAACCTTTTTTTTATCCGAATCGAGCTTTAAACATTACATTTAAACAATCGGATACTTTAAAATGCAATTATTATTAATTTATAATTATGCTTTTGTGATACGACGATTCACTAAAAAAAACTTTTTTTACATTTGATCTATATAGTTAATAATCGATCCTCCATTCCAGTCTAAACAAAAAGAGAGTTGATAGATAACATTAACTTTTCTATTTCTTGCTCCGCTTGTTCAAGATAATTTCCAAGAGATTCAATATCTTTATAAATCTCTTGTCTTTTTGGCAAAGTTAATCTTTTATAAACAATATCCAGTTTTCATGTTAAATTTCTGATTTATTTGATTTATCAGAAAATTGCCACCATGTTAAAAACTAAGAAGAAAAGTTGAAGAAGTTCAGCAATTAGTTAATTTATCATTCAGAGTTGCAGAATTTACAAATTAACGGATACTAAAATAAAATATGATTAGTTCAATAAATCAATTGATAGATTTAAGCTATAAACCATAAAATAATGTTGGTTTAATAAACTTGTATCTTGTTAGATACGAAAATTATAAAACATAAACAGCTCCCGCTGATTATTCGGTCCTATCATTAATTATCAAATAATTTATTTTTTTTCCTTTGGTAAACAAGGATGTTGTAAATTTCAATTCTAGTGAGCCGATAGAATCAAAAAATGAAATTTTATGAATTAAAAGTTTTAATATGATCAATTACTTTTCGATAATTTAAATATCCTCTTGAACATGGAAATGCTGGTTTGTGGCGCAGTACAATAATTATACAATTTTTACATTTTATTTTATTTTATTGTAATTTAGAGGTATTCTGGATAAGAAATCAAATAAAGGCTAAAATATCATATCGTACCCTTTGACTTTAATTAATTGATTGTAACACGTGAATTGAAAAATTCTAAAATACAGAAAACAAGGTATAGTAAATCTATATTAAAATTTTCTTATTACGTAATATTTTTGGGAAAAAAGATGGTTTTAATACCGAATATAATGAAAATTTAATCCTTCTATAGATATCACATCTTTCAGTATTAACTTATGAATAGGGTAATACAAAAGCTTATTGGTCAAAGAGCATTAATTAACGTGATAATACACAAAAAAAAAAAAAAAAAAAAAAAAAAAAAAAAAACCCCACCTTTTCAAAATGACTTCAATATTCTACTCTAAGAACTTTCTTTAATGTAATGTTATCATTCAAGCAGGTGAAAATCAAAATACAAATGAATTAGAGCACATTCAGTTATTTTACTTGTACGCTCAAGATTGTTTTTTTCCTAGTTCAATAAACTCAAACTGTTTTTGACATGATCTCAAATACATTATATATATATATTTTTGAAGTAATTTGTTTAAATTATTTTTGTTCGATGATTTTTATTATTTAAATTGTTATTAATATTTTTTAAAAAAGATACATTTACATAGGTGAACTGAATTTAGCCAAGCATTCTTTGATCGTTAATTGTATCTATGAAATGTTTCTTGAGATTATTCGAAGTTATCCAAGATTACTTGATTTGAGAATGCAGTAGTTGGATTCAACGAAATTACTTAATGCCGTATTTAAACTTTCTAGTTGTAAGAAACCTCAACATTATAATCATATTCAAACTGCAACCATGACCATTTAACTTCGAAAAACTTCCATCTCTTGACAAAGGTATCCTTTTTGGCTTGTTTGAAGATGAATTTTAATCAAAGAAATTGATATCTGGGATGGTTAATCAAGCGGGGTATTGAACGAACACCTGGACTGAGAAGTTAAGCTAAATGGAATCAAGGGACTTTAAGTCAATTCATTCCCCTTATTCAATTTCTCGTATCGATATTTATGATAAAGTCCGCCCCTATAAAGCTATTTTATGTATGAAGAAATTAAGCAATTTTGTTATAAAAAAACTGTACCTTACCGACGACGACGCCTCGAAGATCAACGTTAATCTGGAACTTACGACTATTTAACTAAATGGATTGATATAATGATTCAAATGTTCTTTCATTTAATAACAATTATAGGTTTGATTATAGGACATTTTGTAATGGCCGAAGATATTATCGGTGCTCAAAAAAAACTATGAAGGTTATAAGGCCATGCAACTTCGATTTTTCGGTTCACGTAACATTGAAATTTTAAAGTCGATCCGGAGACCCGGAGTTTATTAATTATTAATAAAAAAAGTTTGTATCAGTTTACGAAAATTCAGGATTTTTTTTTTTTATAGTAAAATTTTTATCATGTGACCTTCCATAATAAAAAAAAGTGACGAACGAAAGAATTACATAGATTTATCTTTATTGTGTAATACTTACATATATACGAACAAAAAAAAAAAAATCCGGGTGACCATGTCAATTTTAAAATTTTATCTAAAAATTTTTCATTTGCCCGGCCTAATCATATGACAATCACATTCCATGTCAAAATCATTTAAACTCCGTCAAAATGCATATTATACATGTAAAAATAAGTTACAATTCTAAAGATTGGGAAGGTTTACCAGTTGAGAAAGAAACAAAAATAGATTTTTTTGGAAATATATCGATTCTATATTTATCAAGTGACTGATGGGAAAGCAGATTTTGAAGTGAAGTTTAGCCCATCAAATACATTTGTTGGATAAAAAATTTCAGCACAATGTATTGCTTGCATGAACTAATGAGTTGTAAGAAAGGAATGATACATAACGATAATACAATAAAGCTTTAATCTACCAATAAAATTACACTTTATAGTCACATGATAAACGTTTTATATATAAACTTTTTTTTGTTAAAATTTGACATGAACCGAAAAATCGAAGTTGCATGGCCTAATCCAATCGGTTAAGTATTATCTTTTTTTTTTTTTTCCTTTTTGAAAATGATCAAATAACATATGAAAATATAGTGATAAACTAGAATAAATGTATCAGAATTGAAACATATACGAGTAATTTCTGCCTGGCCACGATATCGCTCATCATCAAGGAATTAAAATTGGGTTCTTTGACTTAAAATTCAACTTGAGCAACATTCTCAAATGAAACCACTTAAACCAACACCAACACAACAACAAAATAAAATCAATTAGATTTTTCTAGTTCCATAGTATATATAAAGTGTCTTTCCCTTCTCTCCCACAAATAATTATGTTCTTAATAGAGAAATTTTCTTACTTCCCTTCCTGTTTATAATGATTAACCAAATGAATCCTTCACAATTGCTTATATGTTTGGTTAAAATGCTGCTCCACAATTTTGTAAATTTACATATTTTTATTTGCGTCTTGTCGCAATTTGTTCATGTGCCAGCAGGCTATGCGAAATTTCATAACATGCAAATAAAAAAAACACAAGGTGTCGAATTTTAAGTTTAGGAGTTTTTTTTTTTAACGGGACGGGAAATTATCTCCCAAGTCAAAAACTCTCCTCGCATACAATTAATTGTGGCAGTTTATTTGAGATAAAAATATATTTTGATCAGATTATTTACAATTCTAATTTCTACAAGGTACAATCTAGTTGGTCTGAAATTATATATATAATTCAAAGTTATAAGTAATACGTGCGTCTAAAATTAAGCACGATATGCAAAGCTAGTATTTCTCATAATTTTGTACTTTCTTTTTTGATACCATTTATGAATAAATATTCCAATTGTTATAAAAATTGTGACGGTGAAAATTCCACTTAATAAACCAGTTACAGCAACCATTATATTTGAAGTATCTGGTAGATTTTCATTTGAACTTTTTGGATTTAATGATGTTTGATATGAATATGCAAGTTCCGGATCAAATCGATTAACCCAAGTATAATTTCTAACATCTAATAAATAAATTATCGAATTTTTATTCGCTAATGGAGGTGCGTTTTTTCGAGTCATATTTCCTATATATATAACACAAATAATGTTAATATTAAATCTTTAGAATCTATAAATTTCATGTAGATCGTCACATACCAAACGCAACAATCATATAATTTACCACCATTTTTGCTGTATGAAACGAAAGTGATGGAACATCACCAGCATTTGATGATATTTGCGGGGCAATCCATTCAAATGGAGTTGTTCGAGTATTAAGTACTGCCAAGTTTGGAGTAGCTTTAACATTTAGAATTTCTTCAGTATCTCTCACTCCACCATAAATAATTATTCTTCCATCACGAGCTAATAATGAATTAATAATACAAAGTTTAAAATACGTTTAAATTTTTTTTTTTTTTTTTTTTTTTTTTTGCGAAAATACGATACCTAATGCAGCCGAATGACCAAAACGTGATTCAATGCTAGTATTACTTTTTGTTCGCTTAATGAAATAAATAAAAATTCAAAATTTATGTATGAAATGAAATTCACAAAGGAGCGTTAAAAATATAAAGTGCATACCACTATCGACCAAGATGATTTTTTTGTATCATAAATATGAATTTGATTCATGTCTACGACATCTGTAATGACGCTATCAGTTTGTTCACGACCTCCAATGAATACAATCCTACCATCGGGTAATAACGTCGCAGTATAAAGATCTCGGTTTAAAGGAGCATTGGTGATAGGACCATTTGACCAAATTAATTTCTGAGTATTTAATATTAACATATCATTAAAAAGTTGAATATTTTCTGATCCCAAATTCTCATCAGTTTCTCCACCAAAAACATAAATCTTTCCATTATCAACGGAAGCATGAATGTTTCTACGCCTTTCTGGCTCCTTTCCTTTAACTACAGTCGTTTTCCATTTACTTGTTTTTGGATTAAATGTATGTACTAGATGGGAGTCAAATGTATCTTCATTATTTTGATCTCGCGTCATTCCTCCAATCAGGTAAATAGTCGGGTTATTATCATTCTTAGTTAATGCAGTGGCCGCAAATGCGCTTCTAAAAGGAATAGCAGATGAAACTGAAATGTCTTTCCATGATGGTGTTTCGGTAATAAATGGCTCTGATAAATCTAGGTAAAATACTTCATTTAAGACATTATTGTTATCATCAATTCCACCAAAAAAATAAAGCTTCTGTCCAAAAAGGACAGAGGATTGAGCCAATCGCCCTACAGGAATAAATGATTCAACTCTAAATACCAAATAACTTAATATGAGGATGAAACAATTAAGCGATTTATACTTTTTGCAACTCATATTTTTAATAATTAATATAGAATCTGTTCAAAAGAAAAAAAATAAAAAATAAAAAAAAATAAAATAAAACATTAATGCGAGGTTATAAAACTTGTTCGAAAAAAAAAATTTTTTTTTTATTATGATCCCTTAATTTGATTAATTGGTTATAAGCTGCATGTTATGCACATTCTGAAACAACCATTTCTCGCCGACATGCGAACAAAAGACATTTTTGCCTACGCTCTATAATTACAAAATTTCAGTATATATAGTTATACTGTATAATGATATAAATTTAAATCATATAAATAAATCATATCATATAAATAAATATAAACATATATGCGCCAAGAAGCAATTGTTTGAATCGGACATGAACGAATTCTATACGATATCCATGATTGGAGTATTTCCGTCAAATCACCCAACTATAAATGGTAGATCACAATGAAGTTTATTGATAATGACTTTTTCCGAACACTATAAATTTGGTAATCCTAAACTCTTAATTCTAGCCAAATTCTTAATTTCGATCCATTCAAATGATTCCGTCACGTGAAATAAAATTATAGAGGAATAATTAAATATATATATATTTTCTAACGTTTAAATTTAATTTTTTTTTTTTTTATGACGCTTGAAAAACTCAATATTTAATAATTTAATCTCAAAAAAAATCGAATCTATTTTAAGTGGCACAAAAATAGGCGTAATTCAAACCACCAATCTGCGATAGTAGAGTAAAAAAAAAGGAAAAATAAATTATCCGATCCAATTAAAAAAAAAAAATGGAAAAAAATTCATAATGATCCAATTCCGAAAGAGAAACCCTTAAGAAAAATGTTGATCAATTAAAAGCGCAGAAAATAAAAAAGACTTGATCGCTGCGACCGATCAATCAAAAGTTAAATGTAAAAAAGAAACTAAAAAACACATACCACGTATTACCAAGCCAAAAGAGGATCCAAAATTTTAATAATTTTTAATTTAAAAGTGAAATTAAAATTGTCCTATTGCTGCGGACCAAAGCGAAAGAACTCAAAAAAAAAATGAAATTAAA